GCAGATTGCTATGGAGAGATACAGTAATTCAGGATTAGCAAACTGTAAAATCTGGTGACACATCAGCCTCTCTGATTATTTTTATATGTTGTGTCACATTAATAATCAGAAATGAAGAGGCAGATCACCCAAGGAATGCTAGATGTAACATTTTGCATTTGAGCTAAAAATATATTTAGTTAAGAGACAGTTGAAGCTTTTACTGCAGGTTATTCTCTAGGTTTTTTAGTTAACATACTTTTGGGTCTGTCTCATGGACCTAATGGCTGGAACTTACACAAAAGATTCTCTTCTCATTGCAAGATTCTATCATTCCAGACATCAAAAAGGTCCAATGGGCTTTATTCCTTAGCAAGATTATAAAGCAAAACTGTCCCCCACTATGTTTGTATATCACCGTGACATTAAAGCAATTACCATTACCTCCAAATAAATATTTGTACTTTGATAAGCAAGACTACCCAAATCATAGCCCAACTGATGCTTCTATTGGCACCTGGCATGTATTTATGATGTTTCCAGTATTCTGGGGTCATGTGATGGTTTTGTGACCTTCTGACAAGCAAAGTCAATGGGGAAGCCAGATTCACTTTACAATCATGTTACTAACTGAACAGCTGTGGCAAGAAAGGTCATAAAATGGGGCAAAACAACTGTCAGAAATTTTGGGCTCAATTGTGGTCATAAGTTGAGGACTACCTGTACTGTGACAAGAAGTATAATGCATCCTAAGTTAACCAAATTCAGCAACTTATAATTGAAACAAGGAACAAGCTAGAAAATGGAGCACATAATTTTAGTGTAACGAAGGCAGAGAACAAGTTTTCTAAAATCTCACCAGTACCACCTTTTAATCACTTTCTTGCTAAAGGCAAAGGCAATCTGGGAGAAAAATTCTTTGAAAGAGAAAGCCAATTGAGTGTCAAAATCAACTATGGGTCTATATAGATAGATATCTGGCTGATCTTATAAGGGGGTTGCTTGAGTCAGCAGTGGTAAGTAATGTACATTATGCAATTTTTCAGGACCAAGGATAGCAAAAAGGCAACTCATGTTGTAGAAACTAAACAACAACGCAGAGTCTTCCTTTAAGAGATCCACTACACTGAAGTCAGAAGAGAGCAAACAATATGCCCGTAATCTTAAATTTTTATTTCTCCATAAAGGAAATCCTTGATTCTTCTTTACAGGAGAAAATTGTGGGCTAGGTGCTTGATCTAAGAAACATATTCTTAATCAACTTATATAATATTGAATAGGATGTAGGCGGTTAATAGTATCTTGGAGGCTCAAACTTCCAGAAAAATTCATTGGACTCAGATAATTCAATACATATTTTCAACTGTTTAGATGGCAAAATCTTTTGATGTGGCAGCTGAAGGGACAGCATGTAATTTCAGGAAAAGACACCGTTGCTTAAGAGTGCAGAATGATGCTACATTCATGTTTTTGTGCATTAAAAGCACCTCTTTGGAACTGCATCCACAGAGCTACATAGCCCTAATACTTGCAATCTATGCACAGAGTAGATGGGGGGAAAAAACAAATACAAATACCTAGATTCAATTTTTCTGAATCCTTAACTTGCTCAAGGATGATTGTTTAGTAATGGATATGCATTGCTGGAGTCCATTCTTACAATGAAATTATTTGGCATGGAAATGTTTTTCCATGCATAACCTGGCCCTGATGGATCATGACAAATAGATTGCTGTGGTAGCCTTTTGCTATAAGTTGGTGAATTTTGAAATTACATTCCACAACTAAATATTAAGCAAGCATTCCAGAAGAATGAATAAATGGTTTATTTAGACTTTTTAAAGACATAAAGCCTAAACATAAAAGTTATTATTCTTCTGAATTCTTTTCAAAGGAACACACAAATAAAATCCAACAGATAGCAAAATAAAATAGCCAAATAATAAATGTAGATATTTTGTCCTTCCAGATGGAATTTTGCTTGACAGTTTTATTGTTTATTCTTTATAAATAAGGATTATTGGCTTATTGTTTGTTCTTTGGAATGACAGAAAAGAAATTTGCTCCCTTTCCTGAGTGAAAGTTCTTTAGATATTTGAAGACAATTTCAGAGTAAACAGATACATATCTTTCTTCATAAAACCTGACTTTCCAACCCTGAGCATCATTATGTAGTTTTCACTTTTCTTCTTAGAAAGATAATTTTGGAAAGGCTTAAGATGGAAAATGACAAAGAAGAACTAAGGAAAATTGATACCTGTGGTTGGAGAACATATAAGGGGACATTTTTTCTGCCTATTCTCATCTGGGAATCATGAGATACGATTTTTAATCCACGATCTTTAGAAAAGTGAATTATTTTGCAATTATAATAAAAGAAATAAGCAGTTCCTTCCTTGAACAAATCCATCTAGTCCAGCAGTCTGTTCTCAGTAGCCAACCAACTGCAAATGGGGTCTGCTAGTCTCCCAGCAGATGTTTTTCAGAAATAGTCACACTGCCATCAAATAGCTATTGATTCCCTTGACTTCCATGAATTGGTCCAACTCTTTTTTGAAACCAGTCAAACTGGTAACCAGCACCATAGCTTCTGGAATTTCTTTGAAAATGTATGGTTCCATAAAAGGAGCACTGTTCAAAGGCTACCTTTACATTGGTTGCTTCCATTTTAACAAGATACCTCATCATAGAACTGGAGAGAAGATAAAATATTTGATGTATATGATATGAACTACATTTAAAAAAAAATCAAATATACTGGTAGAAACTTACTAATTTAAAGAACCTCAAACTTTCAAGACCTGAAATTCCAAGGATGCCATGTTCTTTTATAGTTCGTTTCTGAGAATGAATATATAATAAGCATAGTAGTTGCCCAATTCTTCATTTTCATTTCACAAACAGTTGTATAATTGCTTCACAATGACTAAGGAATTCAAGGAGATTAAAATGCATTTGAATGAACAAATCGATTTGCAATGTAATTACTATGTTACAATCCAAACAAATCGATTTGCAATGTAATTACTATGTTACAATCCAAACAAAATCTACTTTCTGCCATAGGAAACAGCATTTTTAAAGTACTTTTATTTTCCAAGGGTTGTGGAATTATAACATTTTTTTAAAGCTGAAAATTGCCATGTTATAATTCCACAACCCTTGGAAAATAAAAGTACTTTTAAAATGCTGTTTCCTATGGCAGAAAGTAGATTTTGTTTGGATTAATATGTGCAGTATAAACCACCAAAGGAGTTAGAACATTTATTTACTGCTTATTTCAAATGATACTTGCAAAATCATGTGACTGAAAATTATAAACTGTCACTGAATTTTACTGGTATTTTGTGCCTTTGGCGTCTGCAAAATGTGCTTGAGCTCATTTAAATATCATGTTTTGCTTAAGCAAGATATATTGCATAAACCTCAATTAGTTGGATTTATACAACATGCTTGATCCAAACCAACAAAACATATGAAGACCAAGAACAACGTGTGAGCCAAGTTCTATTTGCTGATATCTAGGGTAGAGTGGATTTGATTTTAACATGACTAATATCCTTAGAGTATAATTGCTACCATGCAAATATGAATATGCAACTAAATGAAAAATGGATCCATTCTAGCTTTGAAGTGAGTGTGAATTAGGGGACACTAGCGGCCCAGAAAGATGATTACTTCTTTCCCTATGAGAAACATGAGGAGGCAGAGAGAAAGAGAGAAGCTGAGAAAGGACTATTGCTTTAGAGAAGGAATTTGACTTGTAGTAGGACATCAGCTAGCTTCACTATCTTAAGCCATTCACTTAAAAAGAAATGTAGATCCTTTGTAAGATTTGGTTTGCACTGTGATGGGAATCACTGTTCTGTGGAAACTTACGGTATATAGGCAGGTCTATCTATGGGAGTTTCCCTTAGTTTTGTGGGCTTCCAGTTCAGGTTTCAGTGATGTAAATGTCTTGAGATAGCCTTCCATAAAGGAAGTGAAGGGAGACAAAACAGCTAGAACTAACAACAATCACTAAACATTTTTGTATTGTTGGCCCAGATTTGCTTTCCTATCTAATTCTCAGTGGTAGCTCTGTTGTGATTTTATTTTCAGCAGCCTGCTATTTCAATTGTAACTTGAAAGCTGATTATATATTTATACGACTTTATATATTTACAGACTTCTAAAGTTTACTGAAGTTGTTATTGGTAGTTATGGAGAATCTTTTTTTAATTTATGCACAAAAAAGCCAGCCTGGAGACTAAATACACAAGACAAATTTGACTAAATAGATAGGTTTCTGTGATCCAGTTCCAAGAGATATATCTAAAGATAAAAAGAATCCCTAAAACATTCATTGAAAAATACAAAAAGATGTATTTAATAAGTGCCTTTTGCCCTACATTTCTTTGCCCAAAGAAAATATTTGAAAGGAAATAATATTTTCATTATAATAGAGCAGAATCATATTTCTGGTAGAGTCACAAACACATTCTTATACTGCTAAATTTCTTGGCTAACAAATGAAGTAAAACTCAAGCTAAATCAATGTTACTAGATTACAAAAAATAGTATACTACTTTTTGTAATGCTGTAATATTAAATGGCATTAAATGAAGTACATCATCCAGGCAGAAAAATAGTTTTCCCCAACTTTACTGAAAGTTGTTCTTTCAGAGAAAGAAACAGAAACTATCAATTTGAGTTCTGGAATACAAAACTGAATTTGTGGCAGATATGAATTTCTTCCAAGCTTCATGATCCTGAAGTACAACACTTCTGTTAGGGAAATGTGCAACCTAGTCCACTATTTCACAATCTGGACAACTTTAAGATGTTGGCTGGACAATTTTAGACATTGAAGTTCAGACAGCTTAGAATTACCAAGGTTGAGAAATGCTGCTCTAGTCCAACATGCAGTTATTAGAAAAGAAGTCTGATAAAAAGCAGATTTACTTCCATGATTTATCCATTGATAGGCATCTGTTTTCCAAGCAAATCAACATTTAATATTATATAGCAATATTATATAGCAATGTTACAAAATAGGAACGACCTCTCTCACTATGATAATATTGTTGCTTAGGTACATTGTCCACAGAAGGATCCTATATTCTCCTTTCTTAGAGTCTTCTAGAATGCAGGTAGTCTTGTTAAAGACTGGCTATCTATATCTAGAATATGCTGCATTGACTCACAAAGGGCAGGTTGAAGCTAGATGGGGTACAAAGTGTCGCTGGAGCAACAATAATTGATAGATAGGTTACACTGCTATTCTTCCCTTCTTTCAAGGGCTTCAGGTCATCTAAAGATGTGTTAAGATAGAAGCAGAAAGACTACATGCCAGCAATGCTGAAAAGAAGTGGACGATGTTAATTCAGGTGAGAAAGCCAAGCCATGCTTGATGCCATTCTTAATTCTGGAGTCTTTGACATGGAGCCAATAGTGAAACCAAAGAAAAGTTCCTGATGTAAAATTGTTTTTCCTCCCATGCTGAATCAACCTCCTTTAAAACTCATATACTGATACAAAGATGGTAATTTTGGAAACATGTTTAGCTTGGAAAGTGCGATCTAGATACTCGGACATCTCAACCTCCACTGTTATGGTCTGAGGCCCTTGTAGCCTTTGTACCAGCATGAGTTCTCCAGTCTGTCTGTCCGAGCGTTGCATCACAAAATGTCCTCGGCTGTTTCCTCCTATAATCCCAAACCGCAAGCTGTCAGGACCTGGCCGTCCAGGGGCCGAAGCAGTTGCCATGCGGAAGAGAGGAGTGGGAGTGGCGAGATCGGATGGCAGAGGGAGATAATGAAAGGAGATCGTCTTGGGGGCTTGATGGCATGATCTGCTGTTCATGGGACACGGATTCCGTTCACATTGACTATGAAGGAAAGAAAAGTAAACAATAATAGTATAATAGTATAATAGTATAATACCATTATTATTATCAGTCATTACTATTATCATTATCATGGCTTGTCACACAATCTGCCGTTCAAACTGGATTTGGCACTTTTGTCTCCCTGTCCTGTTCAAGGACCTGGGATAGGCAGATGTGGATGCTTGATGATGTTACAGATACTGTCACAGGATGTAAGGCATTCCAAGTAAAGCTGCCTTTTGTAATCGACTGATGATGGATTTGCCAATGACAATGGTGTTCAAGTGGTGCTCCAGTTGTTTGGGGATTGCAGCTAAGGTGCGTATCACTATGGGCACTACCTTTGCTTACTTTTGCCACAGTCGTTCTATTTCTGCTTGTTGGGCTTTGTAATTTGATATCTTCTCCTGTTCGGCTCCCCCC